CTGGCGATTGGAGGGTGATGGGGGTCAACGCCTGAGGGCTCCCAGTATGTGAGAGGGGGCAGGCTGGGCTGTCCCGCACCCCCCCTCCCCCCCCACACACACCCTTGCTTTAGGGACTCAAGATGTTGAGGGCGGGGGTCGGGTAAGGACAGTGTTGGTACCAAAGGAAAAACAACCACCTCTCCAGGCGCTGGAGTCATTTAGAGTCACCGTTTGACTGCTAGTAACAAAAAGCAATAGAACAGCAAATGACCTTCTGGAAAAGAAGCGGATAACCTGCACTTGCTGTGACTCCTTGCCTAGACTCCTGCATCTAACCTAATCTCTGAGTTTTATTTCTAATCTCTAAGAGCCTGATCTTTCTAAGCAACCTTAAGTTGATCAACATGACGAAAGCCATATAATCTTACAGGTACTGTTTCAACATTGGTTACCTAATGAACATGGGCACAGAACGTTATGGTTTCCAGAACCGTTCACCGTGGTATCTCATTCGGCCCTCACAGCGTTCATTCTTGGGCACGTTTTATGTCTTCGTTCCCATTCTGCAGATGAAGAAAATGAAGCTCAGCTATCTTAAGGGATAGACTTGAATGGAATGTACCAGAGTCTCAAAGTCTGATTTTTACACTTCTGAGCCAGATCTGATTCTGGCTTTCTCTAGCAAAGTGTTCCCTTGTCCTTACTGTTTACAAAGTGGCCCTTCAGTTGGCTATGCAGCTCTTAGATAACAAACAGCTTTCCTATTATCTCTTGACTGTATGCCTAATGGTTGTTTTGTTTGTTTGTTTTGTTTTGTTTTTCATTAAGAAAGCGTGGGCTCAGGTGAGCATCATTCAGCACTGTGTTCTAGACCTACAGAGGTACCCACTAATACATTTTCAAACCATATCATACGAGGAGAAGGGAGCACTGCTTGCATACAGTAATTGCCTGCCTCTTCTCATCAGAAGCAGGAGACATAGATGAATGTTTTGTAGACATGATGGGATAGGGAAAAAAACACACAAAACAAAACATGTAACAAACACTGGGAACACAGTACACGGTTGAGCATTGGATGTTTATCCTCGCGATTTCGTGGCTGACTGAGAACTGGGGCTCATTGCCTCTGCCCAGCATCATAACTAATATCATGCGACATATTGCTAGCCCAGAAAAGCTCAGAGCTCAAAATTCGAAGTACAGTTGCAGCTGAATGCTTATTGCTTTTGCGTCATTGTAAAGATGAAAAATCACAAGTCAAACCATCATAAATGGGAGACTGTCTGTGTAATCATGTTCTCCAAGCTTTACAAGATACTTCGCTCCGTACTGTTAGTAACTCAGATTCTAAACCCAAGTGCTCAGGATGATCTACATGGTCCCGATTGTTATGTTCCCTTCCCAATAACGCTGCCTGTTCCCCCTTCACTCTGCCTCTTGCCCCCTCTGCTCCAGCCAAATTGCCGCTTCTCTACCATGCCCATGTAGGCAGGAGCCCACCTATTCATTCCAGCTGTTTCCCTCTGCCTCAAATGCCCTCTCTGAGAGCCACATGTTAGCTCCCTAACTTCATTTTTTTTTCTCAGATGTCACCCTCTCAAGGAGATTTAGCAAATATTGTTTAAAAGTGCAAACTCCCACCATCCAAGGATTTCCGATCCCCTCTTACCTGCATTTTCTTTTTTTTACCATTGCACTTATTATGTTCTAAAATATTAGACAATTTATTCATGTAGTTGTTTTCTCTTTTTCCTGGCAAAAATTTAAGCTGAATTAAAAAGATGTTTTTGTCCATTGATGTTGTCCACGCACCTGGAATAGTGTTGAATAAAGGAGTAAAGTTTGGCCTCATTACTTAATTTCTCTATATTTCATGTTCATGTGTTAGTAAAATGAAAATGACAATACATAATTTACAGGATTGTTCTAAGAACTAAACAGGTTAATTCATGTTAAATATCTGTTACATAGAATAGGGACCATAAATAATTACCTTTCCTCTTTTTATTGTTTCCTATTTGCTTAATGAAATTATAGATTTTTAATTAATAGGATCCTGGTGTACATTTCTGCTTTTTTTGTTCCTTTATTTACATCTGCAACTGGAAACATTTTATAGGCCGATCTCAAGACATTCAATTGGAACCCTATTTTCTATGCACTTCAGCTTCACATGGTCTATAATATATTAATTTTATTTTACTTGTTCATGAAACTTAAATACTGTCCTAAATATCCTGTTAGGTTAAGAAATCAAACATTTTAAGAAGAGAGGTTAGTCTCACCAAGTCATTTATTCATATGATATAAGTACTTACCACTCTTGGTGCTTACTGTTTATATTCCTATAAAACATTAGTTCTAACTATATAAATTTACTTCTTTCTATTTTCTCTCTATATAAACCATATTTATTCTTTAATGATAGCCTGAATTATAATAGTCATTCATGAGATTTTTTTTACTGAAACTTCAGTCCATATGCCATTATAACCATCAAATATTTTTTTTTAAAAAAAGCATGTTTACCTGTTTTAGATGTGTTTTTGCCCAAATCATCCTCTTTAAAAATAACTCAAAAGCAAATAATTGGAATGCAATTATAAATAAAGAGAAGATTATAACTGAGGATGATTAGAGTAAAGGGTCAGTTATTTGGCATCTGTTAAGTACTATCCATACATTTTAAAAGACAACAGACCTTATATTGGAAAATGTTAATGAGTAGGCAGTCTTAATGTATTAGAATAATGCAAATAATATTTTCTAACCCTAAATCACTCCCATATGTTTTCAGACACAGCATATTATCCTTAAAATATTCTCCAATATCCTAATTATTTAAAAACAAAATTTTAAACAGTACTAGCCACATTTTATTCATTAGTTGTTTGTTGAAATAAATGTCAGTATATTATACTTTAAAACCTTCAAGATATCTTTGCAAGTTATTTTATACCCACATTTTAAATGAAAAACCAGAAGTTAAGAGAGAGAATTTAACTTATCCAAGCTAATAAGGTTGGAAGAGGAAGAGATTGTTTCATCTTTAATGTCCTATCACAACATGAAGATTCTGGTTCTAGTTACACATGGGTGAGTGAAAACAGATTATATTTTAGACATAGACGTGGTTTGTACAGAATCTGGCTGCAGATTAGGAAATTGAAATCAAAGAAGTTGTTCTAGAACTAGATCCAGGCCCTTACTTCCAACTCCAAGTTGGTCCAAAGATGAACTAATATGTGAATGATGTTTCACTTAATTTTTTTCTGTTCAACATAATAATAATAGCAATAATAATTATTATCATCATTAT